AGGGATATGTTCTAGGTCTGTACCCTGCTCCCTTGTTTCTAGCACTTTATCCTGCTACTTTGTGTGGACTGTGATGGTCTGTTGTCTCAAGGCATCGTGGTGTTGTTGTATTTAGATCTCTGTTAACTGTTTGTGAAGAGCAGCCAAGGGTGATTCAGGTTCTTCTTGGTGGTGTTTTATCGTTGGCTCATTGGTGGAGAAGGAGATAGTGGCTGTTGCTCAGTAACTGAAGTTGCAGGAGGTGTGGGTGTAGTTGTGTCTTATGGGGACTGTTGTTGTCTCCCACTCAATCACACACAAATTACAATTAAATAACCTTCAAAAAACTTGTCAGTCTTGCAGGTCCCGAGTGTCCTTGGGGTTGCTGGAAAGCAGAACGTGTTCTTAAGCCCCAGGAATCTGCGAGAGCGCTGTCTCTTTAAATATCCAAAATAGTCAAGCCGCTTTTTAAATCTTCAAAATGGCGGCACCCTCTGGACTGGCAAAAGTCCACAGCTCAGCCCACCTTTCTCTTCACCTTCTCTGTTTGTTCCCCCAGCCACCACGCACAGTCCTCCGTGCAGTCCCTGGCAAGCAGGGTGATTTTTAGGTTAATTCTTAAGTCCTACCACCCCGGGAATCTGCAAGAGCACTGTCTCTTTAAATTTGCAAAATAGCCACGCCGCTTTTTAAACCTTTAAAACGGCGGCACCCTCCAGACTGGCAAAAGTCCACAGCTCAGCCCACCTTTCTCTTCACCTTGTCCGTTTGTTCCCCAGCCACCGTACACAGTCCTCCGTGCAGTCCCTGGCTAACAGGGTGATTTTTAGGTTAATTCTTAAGTCCTACCACCACTCGGGAATCTGCAAGCTGTCTGTGCCGTCAGGATCGCTCACCACTGCTGGCAGACCGCAGCTCCGTATGTCTCCTTTTGTGGTATTTTCACGCAAATTCTTCTGCTAGTTAGGGTTTAGTCCACTTCTATATTCTTCCCCTCAAGGCTCAGGGGTCCAGGATTATCTTCTGTATCTGTGTTAATTGGTTTCCCTAATCTTTGTTGAAGAGGGTCTGTGCAGTCTTTCTGCCTAGTCTGCCATCTTGCCAGAACTCTGAATCATTTCTTTAGAATAAATCTCTCTCTCTCCATATACTTCATTGGTTTTATACCTTTAGAGAACCCAACCTAAGAACTAAGAAAATTGACAACTCTGAGGCCTGAACTCTTACTCAAAGCTGTGAATTTCCTTATTTCAAATCAGCCTTATAAAAAACAATAGTAGCTTTCAGGCTGGGCTTTTAAATAACTACCCCAGTACATGGCACTGGGTTTGATACAGATGTTCACAGCAGAGTCCATCAAAATTGACTTGACGGCAATGGGTTTTGGTTTGAGGTCTAAAGGATACCACAAGAAATAGCTGCTAGGAGATCAGACTTATAAAGCATACAAACTGGAATTGAAGAAAGTAATCCTGAGCCTCTTCAGGGAATGTGTAGTTCTGAAAAAAGGAATTACAAACTACAAGTATGGGCCCTAATTCCACAAGCCAGAAACTGCCTTCCTGTGCCATCTGGCTTTTCCACTCACACATCTAGCACGAAAGTCTGATGTTCCAAGCCTCATTTCCACCTGTTTAATTTTCAGAATTGACCTTCATATCAATTAGTTTTGATGAACTCAAAGAAGAAAGAAGATGAGCATAAAATAGTTCCCAAGTTTCCACAGCAACACCACCTAACACATGCATACCTTGCTCCCTCTGCCCAAGTCTTTCTTTTACCAGTCAGGGTAAGAGTCCAGCTGCTTACTCACCTCTGATTTCTCTAGCTTGTTTTGAGCTTCAATCTGAGCCACAATTTCATTCATGTTTGTTTCCAGCACCATCCCACCCATCACTACCTCCTGAAGGATATAGTGTACCTGGAGGGGAAGCAAAAATAAGAAGAGTCAGAGCACTCAGTGGTGGTTAGGGTGCAGCCTAGAAGAAAACCTTGTGGCCTTCCTGAAGCAGCAGGGTGGTCAGACATGACACCAGGTCCTGATTCACAAACTCAAGGGAGATCTCAAGGCATTCCTCTATTATCTTGGGCATATCATAACAAGTCTCTTGTATCATCAGTGGTAGAGGTACCTGGTAACATGCATGGTAGTGAGGTGGTGGCTAAGAGCACAGGTTTTGAAGTCAGCCAGATCCTGTCTAGATCCCATCTCCACTATTTGTTAGAACTTCAGCTTTCTTCCAGGATTGTGGTGTGATAATGTGTGTAAAGCATTTAGCCTGGTACCTGGCACATACTGGGTTCTAAATAAGTAACTGGTGCCTTTCATTACTAATATTGTCATTATCAACACTGAACACCATTAAATCAGTCCAGCTATGACAGAGCAAGATCTATCCAAGCAGCTGAAAAGGAACGTCTCCTCCCAGGCCTGCATAAGCCATAGTCTCCAGCCTGCGCTCTGCTGAAGGGAAGCTATCAGAGCAAAACAGAGTCTATTCCTTTGTACCCATTCTCATGCCCTACCTTACAGCTCAGATAAGAACCAGCTCAGATGGTGCAACCACTGTTGGAAAACAGTATGCCATTTCCTCAAAAAGTTTATGATCCAGTAATCCCACTACTAGGTATATATCCTAGAGAAGAGCTGTGACATGAACAGATACATGCACACCCATGTTCCCTGCAGCATTATTTACAATAGCAAAAAGATGGAAACAACCTAAATGCCAATCAGTGGACGAAGGGATAAACTATGGTACATGCATACAATGGAATACTACACAATGTTAAAGAATAATGATATATTATGAAACATCTTATAACAAAGATGAACCAGGAGGATACTATATTGAGTGAAATTAGTCAATCACAAAAGGGCAAATATTGTATGAGACCATTACCATAAAAAGTCAAGAAAAGGTTTACTTACAAAAAGGAACCTTCTTTGAAGGTTACCAAAGGTGGGAAGGGAAGGAAGGATAAATCACTAACCAGAAGGTAGACACACAATAACTTGGGTGAAGAGAAAGGTAATATACAATAAGGGGGAGATTAGTACAAAATGATCAAGGCAAAGTAAGACATTCAGAGGAGCTTAAGAGTTAAAGGAAACAAAGGTAAATACTATTACATACACAATCTAACAATATAGTAATAATAATAACCATCTATGAGCAGATACGTAGACAGACACAAAAGTGGAACAGGAGCTGGAAGGCAAATGGGACTACACCCACAAGTATACACAGGTTTGATAAAGAATATTTCTACATACATATCTGTATGTTCTACAAATATATCCATGAATATAGTAGAGCATACTGGGGGCAAAGTTATGAAAACTTCTTACCAATAACCAAACACCTTGAGAGTCTTAGGGGCTCAGCATCATAGTCTTGAGACATCAAGGTCAACTGGCACAACAGAGACCACAAAGACAATGTTCTACATCCTATTTTGGTGAATAGTGACTGGGGTCTGAAAAGCTTGTAAGAGGCCATTTAAGATGCAAACTATTAATCTCTCCCTGCCCAGAGCAAAGAAGAGTAAAGAAAATGAAAAAAACATGGAAACAATTAGTCCAAAGGGCTAATGGACCATGTGAACCCCAGCCTCCATGACCATGAAACCAGAACTAGATAGTTCCCGGCTACCACTGCCAACCACTTTGAAAGGGATCACAATAGGAAGTCCTGGACAGAGTAGGAAAGAAATGTGGAACAAAACTAAAATCATAAAAAAGACCAGTTTTACTGGTCTGATAGAGACTAGTGAACCCCTGAGACTATGGCCCTTAGATATCCTTCAGGCTTAGAACTGAATTCACCCCCATGGATCAACTTTTAGCCAAACAACAGACAGGCCTATAAGGTGAACAACAAAACCAGGAAGGTACACACTTCTTAAAATAATCAACCAAAGATCAAAAAGGCACCATTTGTCCAGGGATAAAGCTCAAAAGGCAGGAAAGGATAGGAGAGAAGGACAAACAGAAGTATTAAACAGAGGGAGAAGTGGGAAGAGTGCTGTTATGCTGTGGGGATCATAATCAATATCACAAACCAAAATGTCTATGAATTGTTGAACGGAAAACCAATTTTCACCCAAATCACAACAAAAAGATAAAAAGAAAAAAAAAAGAAAGAAAACTATGGAACACAATTCTATCTTGATACATATGGGGTTTACAATGAGTTGGAGTCCACTTAAGGGCAACTTGTTATTTAAAGGACACAATTTATCAAAATTTAACATCTATATACAGTAACGAAACCATCACCATAGGATGACAAACACATCCATCATTCTCCCCTATTCCACAAACAAACAAACAAACAAACAAAACCACAATTAATGTCCATGGAAGGAGTAGTCACAGGAAAAAAATAAATCAGATCAGAGTAATTATTTGTCCAGTAACAAGGCTCCTATCTGGTCACCTGGATTCCACCCAGCTAGCAGTTCTCTAAAAAAGCTGAATCCCAGTGTACTTGACTACTGTGATGGCATAAAGCTTACTCAACTACTGTCCCCACAGGGTAGGAAAGCTGCCATGGAAAGCCTTGAGTGAGTCAAGTCAGAGATACCCATTGTTGTTGTTGTTATTTGCCATCGAGTCAGCCCCGACTCATAGCGACCCCTCCTTGGGTTTCCGAGGCAGTATCACTGCGGAAGTAGGATTGCCCAACCTTCCTTCCGAGATACCGATTAGGTGGTACTTTATATTTCAAATCAAATCATATCAACATGGCCTTCAAGGTGTTTATAGTCAAGTTGGGAAGATAGCAAATACCACCTTCTGTTGGTAACTACATGCCAAACTGGTGCAATAGTCCTGCAAGGTCAGAAGAGGGAGACATTATTGGCTGGAGACCAGAGATGGCTTCACAGAGACAGTGGGAGGAATGAAGCTAGGCTCTGACATCAGAAAAGTATGGAAAAGATTTCAGGCAAAAGGCACTGGAGGAAGCAATTCAGATGGTGCATGGATTGGTCTGAAGAACACTTTGTTCTGGCTGGAATGGCAGATGTACACAAGAGAGGGGCTAAACTTGCAAGCGGCCATCCAGGTGCAACTATGGATCTCTCCTCATCTAGAGCAAAGAAGAATGAAGAAAACCAAAAATTCATGGAAATAATTAGTCCTAGCGACTGGTACACCATCCAATCTGCAGCCTATATGACTATGAGACTAGAAGAACGAGATGGTGCCTGGCTATTACTGTCAACCACTTGGAAGAGGATCTATGTAGGAGATCCTGGATAGACAGGGAGAACAATGTGGAACAAAACTCAAAATCATTTGGAAAATAAAAGGGGGGGGACCAGGTTTGCTGGTCCTATAGAGCCTGGTGGAACCACTGAGACTATGGCCCCTAGCTGCCCTTCAGGTCTGGAATTGAACCCATACCTGTGGCTTCCAACCAAACAAAAGATAGGCATATGAGCTGAGCATTTACCTGAGGTAGATACACTCCTTGGAGAGAACAAGCATGGGAGAAAGAAGGGCTGCTTATGCATGGGGAGACAGCTCAGGGGGCAGGAGTACATGGAGGGATGGACACAGGGAAGAGGTAACTGTTGGGAGGAAGTAGGAGGGGAGATGTTGCATTACAGTAAATTGTGTTTAATGTCATGAGACAAAGTGTATGTGAACTGCTGTACGGAGAGTGTATTTGCTCTGTAAATTTTCACCCAAATCACAATTAAAAAAAAAATAAAAAAGGCAATGTTTTATATACCTTAAAAAAAAAAGAAAGAAAGAAAGCTGACTCTTTGGCCTTTAGGGGTTATATGGAGAAGGTGGTGTAGTAAAAGGCCTAATATACAATATCATGGGAAGCAACGGTTTGTTAATAGAAAAAGTCAGTTAAGAATTTTTTGATTTGAACATTGTACATAAAGTCAGCATTTTCAAATGTTATTCAAAATGTCTTTCAAATGCAAAAAGGAGAAATATATTGAAATGCAAGCTCCATTTTTAAAAAAACTAGAAGATAACCAAAATCCCAGACCCCAAAAACAGATGAGAATTGTCAAAAGCAGGGGGTTCCCTATAAAAAGTTGAACTGGAAAATAAGTTGTGTGATAGGAAATATTTACAACAATGCTGCCCCCAACAAAAAAAAGGAAAAAAAAAAAGCATAGCTACTAAGCCTGCTTATGTACAACCAAACACTTCATTGGATTTAGTTCCTTGGTTTGTAGGCTGAAGATCACGGCTGCATGGGACATCCTAGTTAACGTGTTTAATGCTTCTGCTCTACCTCCTAGCTTGTTGTGTAGTGCCTGGGGTCTTAAAACCTTGCAAGCAGCCATCCAAGGCACAACAATTAGTCTCTATTCACGTGGAGCAACAGAGGAAGAAGGAGAATCAGAGAATCAGGAATAGGAGATGGAATGTATAACTAATTGCCTTCATGAACAACTGTCTCATTTGCTATGAGACCAGAAGGGTGCCCAGCTACCATTACTGAATATTTTTATCAAAGATTCCATAGAAGAATTCTTGATCAAAAGAGGGGAAATGGAAAACAGAATTTCAAATTCTCATGGGCCCCAGACTTACTGGAATCATGGGGGAGGTGGATGAACTCCTGACACTACTGCCCTGGGATAGGCAAACAACAACAACAACAACAACAAACCGAGATTATCCTCTGAAGTCATCTTAAACCCAAACAACAGTTTAGTTTAACCAGCAAAGAAGGTCTGCCTTGAGCACTATGCTCTTTTAAGATCTATCTATATGGGATGAAACTGACAACAGCAACTTGAAAGATCAGTCGAATCCTGATCTTTGAGGGGCTGTGTGAAAGCCCCTCGACCTCGGGCTCCAGCTCTGCCTCTTGCTGCCAGCCCTCTGAAGCTAGAGGCATCTCTTTACTCAGGCAGCTACTGGCTGCTGAGGCTAACAAG